TGTTCTTGTGATAATGACCAGTTTTCAAGTTTTTGCTCTCTTGAACGGACTACGATATTATTGCCCTTTCAGGAACGTGACTGAAGTCTAACGTTGAGACATCCTCTTCTTGGAGATTTATTTATTAGTTATGATAAGTTCCGCTGTGACAGGAAACGGATCAAGGGTGGTGGTGTCCTCCTATCTGAGGAACATTCGCTAACACGTTCAGACGTTCGTTCCGCACTGTTGAAGTCGTCGAAATGACGACGTCAGTTTTGTCGTAGGGAAGTGAATACAGTTTCAGGGGTCTCATCCCCGTAAGGGGGCTTAATGATGCAAACTAGTGGCTGCCTCACCCGCCACACCCCACACCCCTAACTGCCTTCACTACGCTCGGCTACAGGAGGTGAGTACTTCGAGAACGTTAAACCTGTGCAGGGGGAATTGGCCAGGGGGAAGATATTAGGGGGGGTGAGGGAGTGAGGGAAGCAACACTATGTTGCCCTTCTTACTGAGATGAGACCCAGTTACAGTTTTGTGTACGCTTTATCGCGCTTTTCTCGCATCCAAGAGGGCTTCTCGGGAAAATAGACCTATAATTCTAGTGAATTCGTTGCATTTTACTGTACCACCTGAGAAAATAGAACAAGAAATCGATGTTGTTCCGCGCAGGGCAAACATGACGGGATTCCTGATTAGTCCCGTTATTCCAAACTTCGCCCCCAAGCTTTACAGTCGGATGGGTTTCAGGGTCATATATGTAAGTTATTTTTGCTTGTGGGAATGTTCGGTCGTTAGCTCTTCGTTGCCGGACTCACATATCGCTATTATTTTATCAAACCGCATATTTTAACTAGTATGGTTTCGAAATGGAACGTGGCCAACGGATCCAGATCGTGAGTATTCACAAAAATTCCACCAATGAGATGTTTATGATTGCACGATTGACAATGCTGGAGTAATTAAGGGCTTCAGTACAGGCCGGACCGATTCGACGTATTATCCGCTTATTGTGATGCAGATGGAAATTCGTATTTTTAATTGCTTGGCTAATTTCGAGGGATTACTGAGGTCTCACATAAGCTGCATCTCTACTTTGCTTCTACGATTACTTTCCACATACAAGTACAAGGTCATTGGCAGGTGGAGTAGTGGCAACTGGGCGCTGCGTGCAACGCACAGGGCCAAGGCTTTTTTCAGAAGCTTTTTTCACACGTTAGCTGAGCCAACCAGACCTTCCACCCCTCCAGATTCGGATAATTGGTACCAGGTTTGTCTGCACATATAGGCCAAATCGCATACAACTTACCGCTCCGGTTCTGACTGGAAGTAGAGTGCGCGGCGCATCAAAAAAAGTGATTGAAAAATGCCGGACTCTCCAGATTTCATCCTTTATCCTTCACGGGAACTTCTTTTCTTAAATTTAGTTCCGATTTAACACTTTCCTTTCATTTTCTGCTTTTGAAAATGAGTGCTACTGCCATTTGATCACTGATAGTGATTGTCATGTGCAATTGCTCACTGTGACACAAATTATTTGAATCAGGCGCTATTTTTAAGCTTACGCTAGCCAGGAAACACCAGGATGCCGCAGAATTTCAGTGAAATGTAAGTCAAGTTGTGTCTCTGGTGTGAATCTTACCCACAATTATGAAGTATTGGTGAGAAACGGGCTGTCAGGAAAGAAAAGGAAAAGAATCGGTCGAAAACGCTCAGGTTAAGGGCTTGCTCACCTTCCTAATGCGCTGTGCTAAGGCAATGAGAGACTAAGCGCGGAGAGGAGAGTATGAGGCGAGAGAGCGCAACAGATGAGAGGGCGCCAGACAACAGCCTGATAAAGAGAGGATATGCAGCTATCTTTGTAAAGCGTCGGGTCAGGTCCATGCGGGGCGGGGGCACAGTCACACCTGAGTCTTCCAGCAGCCACATCTCATTTTTTTACACTGGTTCATCTTACAAAACGAGGAGAATCTTTCGTCGCACCGTTACTTAGGTTGTTCAGAACCACTCCGGTAGACAGCTCAAGACGAGGACTTGCCCACTAGGTGGAGGTCGCAAATCGTGAGCTTCTTTAAATCATCCTACAACAATTTCTTCGGCTGTAAGAGCTTCCGTTTGAATATGACAAATATTCATGGTTCGAGTGTAACGAAACCAACGGACTTTGTTGATGCCTTTAATTTTTTTTTGTAATTTATTGAATTTATTGTGATTTCGGAGTAAGCCATTCAAACTTTGGAGCAAATTCAGAGGAGATTCCTCAAAAACAAATCCACACACTGCAGAGCTGAGCTACAAGAACATAGTTGGTTGGAGAAACCTGTGAGTAGATAAAAATCAGCCATTGCTGCCTTTAAAAGTAGGTGTGCACATTGAAAAGTTGCAGCGGTAGTGAATGATCGTTGGGTGCGGGCACACTGGGCAAAGAAGTTGATCGAACCCGATCCATTGAATCAATAGGGTACTTCTCAAAAAAGTGGAACTCATTAAGTACTGATGAAAAAATAAGCAGCACATAGACCTGCGCCTAAATCCAAGGAAGACTTATGCTAAATATTCCTTTACGATTTTGGATAGAATTGTGAATACTTAGCGCATTCGAAACAAAACGAAAATTACTGGAGCGAGCGAAGAAAATTATTGGCAGTCAATTTTTTAGGACGTGAATTTGCTATTTCTATTAGGTTGTTCCATAATTTCTGCAACAAACAGGCTGAATTTCGATTTTATTTTTTATTATTTCTTTGTTTCATTCATCCAGCGCAATACACGCCGTCATTATCTACAACATAATGCCAACGCTTCAGAAGCTGTTCGATGTATTTCATGTAGAACTCCATTAATTCTAATCGAAGAAGGATTGGTGTCGCATGTTGAACATCATGACGGTTAACTGTGTACAGGATTTATCCTCTAGGAGATGTTTTCGAGAGAGCAGGTGGGCATCCGTTCCACGATATCAGGACTATAAGGCGGATGTGGGAGAACATTCCGACCGAGACTCCCAAAATTTTTTTGAATTTGCTTAGCAAGGTATGATTCAAGAGCGTAGTGAAAAAGCAGGCTTGTTTTTTTCTTTCGTATTAATAAGCATCACAGTGACGCTGTGAACGGTCAGGTTTCGCATTGGGTGTGACATCTACCCGTAGTTCTTTCCAGAGCTCAACTCCTCTCGTATTCCACCAAAAATCCAGGAAGGCCCTACTTGGACGAGGTTGAAGTTCAGCAATAAGAACGCCCAACTCCACATCACCGGTAGATATGCGGGGTGGTCCATCGAAGGACCACAGTAAGTCATCTTGAACACGACAATGTTAGCTCGTGTTTGGAGCCAATTTGGACTCAAGGCATGTGGGATTCAACCTCCATATTTCCGGATCTTTACAAGATCTGGAAATATGTCTATGAAAAGAAATATGCCTACCTGTCTCTAGAGATGATAGTAGTGTAGTGACAGTAGTGTCATCTAGTCTGACTTGAGAAAATCCGAAGCGATGCTCCTAAGAATTGAGGGAACGAAAGCCTTTTGCCAAATTGGTATAACAGCGATAATAAGAAGCGAGACACAAGCTGGTCAGTTGGCTGAACGTGCAGGTTTATGCTATGTCACGAAGATGTTGCGAAATTACCGGTTTTTCTCAGAAGTTTTCTGGTGTTAAATTTAGTTTGTTGCAGAAATTATGCACCAACGTAACACAATCTTCGCTTCGGTAAATTTTCAGAGTGCTTCATTCTATGTTTTTCTGGACTTGTCAAGCAGCTTGTTCCAAACAAAGAATGTCTATCTATCATCGAAAAAGCAGGAAGCATTCATCATTCCGCCCAAGCGCTGCTTTGACGAATGACGGAGAATGAAGTAACCCGAGCATCGTTGCAAATCGGAACTCGCAAAGACAAAAACCATCATTCCTCGTCATCAGGGATCAGAATCGCTGAATAACTGAAATGAAGGGCCTATGCGTATGGACTTATGCAGTATATATGCAGGATACCCAGGCTTGAGCAGTTCTTTACAGTTTCTATTCACAGCACAGACAATAACGATGTCTTCTCTACTAGTATTGGTCTACTACTTGAGGACACGACGCGCAAGTGAGGATTAAAAGATAAGGTCGGAGGTCGAAGAAAGGGATATACTAAATGGAAAGGCAGGTGGGTCCCTAAGGGTACAGGATGATGCGGGTTTCACAGCGAAGTATATGCTACGGCGATGTAGCATGGCCTTCCCTGCGCCGCTATCGACGCGGCACGCCCACCGACTGGCTAACCATTCGCCGCAGGTCTCTAGCCGTTTAGCAGAGAGAGCGTTAGCGTTGAAGAGGGCAGCACCGATGAGAGTGGCATCAATGCGCAAATCAACGGGCACCAATCAATCAAGGGTTTCATTTCTTGGGTTCTAAGCCGTTCCTCATCGTTTTTCTGCATCCCATATTTCATTTGACAGCCTCTATCTTACTTCTGTTAAGCTGCTTTTTAGTTGTTAACTCCGCCTTCAAGGACAGTGTATCGACAATTGATACTCGTACCCTACTCATTGACAGGGGTTGAATTTTTTGTCAAATTTGTCTGGGCCAACAAGCTTACCTTCCCTTCATAAAGTCGGTTAATTGGCACCGGACTTATTTGGGAATTGAATTATTTAGTTTTTACATTCGTTTTCCACCTCAAGCTATTGCATAGGCCATGTTGCATTCAGGAGGCATTGCAATTCCAAATGGAAAACTATGATGCGTCGCGTATCTCGAAAAGGATTGGCAAATACCGTATGTTTTGTACTTCGTTTTGTTCCCCACACAGCAGAAGGTTGCGAAAGACGGCTGTGAGAATGATTCACGGGCTGATTAGTCTACTACCACTTAAGAGCCTACAACTGTCTCCCAAACCACCACCGTTCTCGTCTCCTGAATCACGAGCACACATAAAGGCAAATTATATTCTGCACTGGCTCATAATAGACTATATTGTTGCCTTTTGGGCGTTAGTCAGGCTACTATCCATCAAAGACATATTTGTATAGCATGTTTAGCTCTCACATTCTTTCCCTGATATTTCCGCTGATTTTGGTGCTAATCATGGAGGTCAAAAACGTCACTAACACAACAGATTCAACCAAAGGTACGATGAATTTTGAAGATGATCTTTGTATTGGATTGCACCATTTTATTCAATCTGCCTCATTTAAACAATAAGTAAAACTTATCACCATACATACTAAACTATGATTGCTCATCGCCAGTAATTTATCGATTAGGAAATGTCATGCTCTGAGAAGGTAGGCAGTTTCGAGATGAAAAGGGCAGGTCGATGTCGAAGTTGTCTTTGTGTCGCATTTTTTTGCCCGTCGGGGCGTATCCTAACCTTCCCCCAGGCTAGGGTGTGAAAAGAGTCGTTTAGCTTTATTTGTTTTCAAAGGATATATGGGTTAGAAATACGCAGTTTCTCAGAGCGATTTTTGTTGGAATGGCAAAAAAATGTAAAGGGATTTTTTGTTCCCCTAGCCTAGGGGCAGGATAGGATACGGCCTATGGCGACTACTGACCAGCAATAAGCGAGTCAGGTGACAATATGCTGATTCAACAACTGGACGGTGCTCTAGTAGAACGTTGTCGGCGCTATCTCAATAATCAGGGGGGGGGGGGGGGGCGAAAAAAAAAACGATCCTTCTATCACATTCAAACGAGTCAGACCCATCTCGAACTGTCGAACCAAACTAAATGAGTCCAATTGCATATTGAAAGAGCACATTCAAGTCTATCAACAGGTCACATGACAGCCTTCTACACAGACGACATCAGAAGATTTTTCCACGGAAACATGGTTCACGGTACGAGCTCAACGACGTCGTCGAGGTACCATAGACCATTACGATTCGTACCGCTGAACAGCGGTCAAATCGGTTTTGCACGGTCAATTCAGCTATGTCCTTCTGAATCGTCATATTCTGAAGACCGTGAGGGCATTGAAGTAGGGGCTGCTTCTGCTTATGGGGGGACACCTAAGGAATATTCTGCCGTAAAACATTCATTAGCTGCGGCATTCTGTGCGAAGAAAAATTTGATGATGTGCGCCATAGGCAAAGTGACTCTTTTTTTGCCCCCCCCCTGTCAGGGCATATTAGACTAAGCCTAGGAGGGGGCAGGAACTTCGCGAAAAATGAAAATTGCTCACGCATCCCGGAGTTTCTCCTCTTGCGCTTAGACTTACCTTAGTCCCGATCTTGAAAAGGCAGATGTTTTACGTAGATGTGAATGCAATGCCACCACAATGCCTCCGTATCTTGCGATAGCACCGACTTTTCAATTACCCCTCAGTATATTTCGATTTATGCCATCCTGGAACGCTGTTGTTGTGAAGCGGCCATTTTTTGTGTTGTAGGGACAGTTTCCCTTTTTCCACCTGTACTTGCCATTGATTACAGCTGGTCTGGCTATTCCAATGCCGAAGCGAGAAGGGAGTTACCGGTGGTTTATCGGCGAACACACTCTGCAGATGAGAAGCATGACCCTAATTTGTTAACTTTTCAAACTCTTCTAATCGATCCAGTCACTTGTTACCCGCGTGTGGTGAACATAGAGTCGTCTCTTACTACCCACAGTAACGACGTTTCTTTTTCCTCCGCTAGTCATCCGTTACGGAATGCTTGAGAATGAGGTTGTGAATGCATCGACTCGCAACTCCTGTCCAGTTGTTAATCTATAGGGGATCTGTTAGAGGTCGAGGCCTTTTAAGTGGGAGCAAGAACCGAGATGGACCGTGCACCTGAAGTATAAGGGTGTGACGACCACAAAGCCGATAATCTCGTGCGGATTGATTTCAGTGAGGAAGCCACAAGCAGTCAACCATTCAGCCCCCCCCGCCCCCGTCGACACCGATACCTTCCTGAACCCATGGTTTCCAACAAAGGTCCATTAGAGCAACCGTGAAAAAGGGGCAAACCATTTTCAAACGACAGAAGACTCTGTCCGCTAGTCAATGTGTATCCGTCTTCCACGGCATGGCTGGATCACGAAAGATCAGCCAAGAATGCCCGACACAACGAGTCTCTCTGCTTTTTCCCTGTGGGATTCAGTAAGAAAGCGACACGAGGCGGGCGTGATGCTATGCAAAATTTACTTCGAGTACTGCCTCTTCTCACGCGCAATATTAAACACGTTGACGACATCGCATGTTTTGGCATTTTGCACCTCGTGGGACAGGAGCGATTTTGCGACCGCGCCGTCCTCACCTTACTTCCGCTTATTTTTTGTTAAAAATGCACAATAACTTGAATTTCATAGGACTATTTCGGCAAGGATGAACGCATAAAGGTTAACTATATAAGTAGCAACACGCTTTCGCTGCGAATGAAATTAAAAGCATTTGTATCTAAGTATTTCCATCACATGCAAATATATTGAAACTCACAGAGTTTTGTATTAACTAATTCTACAATCTTTCATATAAATGTTAACGACAGTGAAAGGAATACCAGGAAAGAATTGAAATGAAAGTTTTGTGCGTTCGGAAAATTTTTGCTAAATCATAGGATACTTGACCACTCTGGCTGCCAGGCGGTTTATAGTTATGCTAATGTATTATCTATAGAATGAATACAAGAAACCGAGAGGAAGGAGCGCAAGCACGATAAAAGTGAGTAGCATAGACTTGACGCGCTTGCGCGTCAGAATGTCCGATGCGGTGCGAAATTCTTGACGCGCATGCGCGTCAACTTGTCGTCAACGTGTTAAAATAATTTCACGAGCTATTCATACAACCAATACCTACACAGTAAAATCATGCTAAATTTAGATCTGATCATGTACTACGAAAATTCTGAAATAATGCTTCTTTAGCTCAAGGGGAGTGCCGTACTACGAGCAGTGCCCGCAAGGTCCCATAGTCAGCGCTGTGGATTGCACCGCACAGCTCCAGACAATCGTTACAGCGCGAGAAGCGACGGCTGAGGCGAGCCATACAGTACACCACCTTCATAACTGTGGCCAAAGAGACTCACCAAAAACCGAGACCTATGTTGGAACATCATCCCTCATATTCCTATACAATCTCTTCTGATAGCTTTATATCCCACTCCATAAGTCGGGCGGCATTATTCGGGCCAATCCCCAACTCCCGCATCATAGTTCCAAGGCGATCTAGAGACCCAGTAGGCCACTGCGGTGATCGATAATGGCTGTTTTTTTGGCCCCTTGTATAACACAGAAGGAAATGCGAAACACCAACGGGGTCTCATCCAGTGAGGGGGACATGCGTAATAACTTCGTATTCTTTTTGAGGGCAGGGAGGCTGCCAGATGTAGAAACATGCTCCATCACTGGTTTTCACGGCACTACTCGAGGAGATTCCCCTCCATTACAAAAATTGAAATTTCTGTAGCCGGTAAAAACTGTCATACCACATGTCCCCCCTTATTGGATGAGATGTGCACTACATATTGAGCTTACATTCGACTGGAGATGCTTGGGTTTTTTATTGGTGCTTCCAAACGCTTTGAATATCTTATTTTAATCGAAGGATAGTTGCACTCTTCCTAAAGTTCAACTACATTGAAGTAATACGAAGCAGAGGATAAAGAGCGTTTAGGCTATGGTCACGAAAGCAAGGTCAGGAATTCACGAGAAACAACAAACTCGAGCTCGCATGCAGATGATGCTCATCATGCTGGAAATGCAACGAATGGTTCAACATCAGCGACTGGGCATCACAGGGAAGATTTGTGACTTCTCTTGTTTGGGAAGTTTTCAGCCGAACTGAGTTTTAAGGATTTTCCTGGCGAAACAAATCGTCGACAAACTCAATCAGCCATGGAATCATTTTGTATGCGCTGAAACGAGCAACGGGCATTGTAAAGTGAGTTGAAATCTCGTGACAGCAGTGCTGGAAAGGAAAGCTTTCAGTAAATCAGGGAGCATTTCATGGCCGCATCTGGAAGCGACGTCCTGTCGTCAACACACAATGCCCCTGCCTGACATCTAGAAAGCTTTTTTTAAGGGAACTCGTTTGTAATATTGAAATATTGAAATTGAAATAGCCTCAATAAAGAAACTCTTCTTTCTTCAGAAGGGCTTCGAAGTAAAGTGCAAGATATTAGCACATTATTTCACGCTCTCCATCACCAGTTTATTTTCAGGTATCCGATTCAATACAAATATGCTCTTACGGCAGAGGATTAGTCGTTGTGATGGGAATGCCTTTGTGGTAAGTAGGATTGTAGTTATGGAATACGATAGAATAGCACCACGGAAACCCTTTAAAAAGTGCAAAGGAGAGGCTTATGTTAAGGAAAGGGATGCCGATAGCATGCATAGAGCGACAATTACACCGGCTCTCACAATTAATTATCTAGAGCTCGACAGTTCCTTTATTTCTACCTGGCTTACCTAATACTGTAATAGCTATAATGTAATAAGTGCTTTCCCTTACTCATACCTGTTACATAAACCTACCCAGCGTGATGACATTTCTACCCATAAATTTTCCAAAAGCTCAGATTCATTGATTTTCGGAAAGGCTCTAGAGAAGAAATGTGAATACATATAAAAATAGTTTCTTCAAATCGGAACGTTGTGTTGATATTCAAACTGTTTTTGCATGTGCATATGTGTAATATTTTCTCTCTAGAGCCTTTTCCAAAAACCTTTCTTGGGTGTGGTTTCAGGAATGTTGTAGGTGCAATTTGCGTTATGGCTTAGAATCAAGGAGATACAGGTGAACCACACAGTGTCGACTTCTTGTTCAAACGAATCGTTCACGAAAATTTTTCGCACTCTTTGTAAACGTGAATATGTGAGCTGTGATCACTAGAGACAACGTATAAAGTTTCACTTGAAGTGCTTAGGTCCCTTGTAAAGGCCAACCCCATAAAACTCACTTTTGGGACGGTCCGCTGGGTAGGTCGGGCGGGGACGAGGGAACCCATGGAGAGAAGTACTCCTTGGCCCGGCCACGTATCAGGCGACGATTGAAAGAATTAGAACAAAGCGTCTAGGGGCCTGTCCTCTACAGATCTATGGACTCCTTCACACGACTTCTGCCTAGCTTGCCTTTAAGTTTTATTCTACAATCTAAATTGACAAAGTTCATAGCTTAGGTTCAACGAAACGGAGAAGTCTGAATTAGGCCGAATCCATAAATGGATTACCGATTGTCACGCTCCAAGGCGAGAGACAGCAGCTCTTCTCGGAGAAATTCGCAAAAAAATTAAAAACCCCGGCGTAATGAAAGCCAGGTGAGCTGTCTGAACTTCACTGAAAAATGCAGCACAAAATGTAAAAAGGTAATAGTAACCATCATCACAATTAATAGATAGCAATTATAAATAACAATAATAAATAATAATAAATAGTAAATAAGTAATAGTAAAAAATAATAAATAAAATCTCTATAGTTCGCTAGGCGGTTTTGTGTGTGTCTGAATGTCTCTGACAGAAAATTCATG